ACAACAACAACAACAACAACAACATTATTTTCATGACAAGAGTCCAGAATGAGAGCTGCAAGGTGGAGTGGACTGCAGGGGGGAGGGGGGAAATGATTGTATAATAATAATTTTTTTTTTTTTACTTTTCAAAGAGAAGAGCGAACTGGGGTGGGCAGGGCGCAAAACGTGCAACAATGAATGAATGAATGGAAATCCAAAGTCTCTATAAACTTTCAGTTAAAAAAAAGAAAAAGGCATCACGCTGGAAATGGACACAGGGACCGTAACCACAGGCATGAGCCTGGCAGAGATTGGGAGGATGGCTCCGGATTGTGCAAGGTTCCCATCTGTTCACAGGCTCACTGTGAATCATCGTCTCTTGGAAGGTGCATTAACAACAAACTGAGAAAATAAGCAGCTGTTTGTTAATGCCACCTCCCTCATGGTATCTCTGTCACAGCAGAACTAGGACACTCAGACACCATATTGCCTTGTTATTCTCCAGCCACAGGAAGGAGCCAGGGCTGAAGTCACTAATTTCTCAAGGAAAGACCCAGCTGGCTAGTCAGTGAGGGTCAGTTCCAGTCCATCCTAGTGAGGGGTGGGGTTGGCAAGTGGCAAGTCAGACATGTGACTGCCGTGGCTCTTCTCAGAGAGGCTGATGCGACCCTAAAGGGTTGTGCGATTTGCATCAGGTCTGTTTGGCTCCAAAGGCAAGGAGGAGCCCTAGATATAGAGGCTGAGAAGACACGGTTCACCTAGTCCACCAAGGAGCATGGAGGCAGTGATAAGACACAGTCATATAAAAAAATAAAGCTTTAATTTGCCAAGTGAACATTACAGCAACCCCTACCCACTCATTCCCTCAGACTCCCAGGGCTGGGCAAGCAAGGATCCTTCTGGAGAGGGAAGCTGTTCATCTGGGAAGGGACAAGCACAGACCTGAGGCTGAGGTCAGGATCAGAGGTGGGCAGAGCGCTGGACCGGCCCCTTTCGGCCCTCCCCAGCAATGGGCCGGCCCCGTTCCTCCCAGATGGTGAGGCCATCGCAAGAGCAGATCTGTTTGGGGTTCTGGAACAGGCCAGCAGAGCGTGCGATGATGCCACAGGCCAGCCTGCCGGAGAACAAGAGAGCAAGCAGTCAAGGACCGTCAAGGGGGTTTGCCTGGACCCCTCAGGGCTTGTAAGCACACACAGGACCAGGCAGCTTTCCATGAGGCACCCAGCTCACCTCTGGCCCGAGTTTCCAGTGATCTTGGACAAGGGGTGGCCACCTCGGCCCAGGTCATCCTCCTTCTCATCGATCACCAGACTGCGACCAATCACCTCCCACACCTTCGAGGGGGAAGCGATGCCTCAGGCCTGCAGGAAGGGCTCCACCCCCATCACATCCCATCTTCTCTCCCATTGTACCTTTAGCTTCTCCACCTCCATCCTGAAGACCGCTCTGCCATCAGCATCAGCGTGGACATTCCCCAGGTCACCGCGGTGCTGTAATGACCCAACGGGGCAAGCTCAGGAGGGCACAGCTGCTGTCTCCCGGCTCCCCGTATCTGATTCTCTTTCCTCCCCTCCCAGAAAAGTACCAATCCTCTTGCAGGTATAGTCTGGTAGGTTCAGAGAGTGGCCAGAACTCAAGGCAGGAGACTGGACACACCTTGCAACCCCTGGGGTCCTTTCCATGGGACTAAGCTGTTCCCTGATGAGACAGACCCTCCTTCCAACCTCACATGAACTCAGCTATTGTTTTTCTTCACTCCAGGTCACCACCTCCTATTGGCTCTGCAAGTCCCTGGAAGCCAAGTGCATTCCTTGGGGCTTAAATTGGCCAATGTTGGCTTCCCTGACTATCGGATGCAGCAGCATCACCCCTGCACTCCTAGTCTCAAGTCACAGGGAGAAATCAAGGAGCAAAGGACCTGGCCCTCCCCCAGTGCTGGCTCTTCCCACCTTTCCCCTTGAAAGTAATATGACCCGTCATCACACAGCACACCAAGCATCTCCTACGTAAAAACCCTGTGTAGGCACTGGAGAGGGTACCCTGGTGTCCCAGTAATTAAAAGCTCATCTGGTAACTGGAAGGTTAGTGGTTTGAACCCATCAACTGCTCCTAGGGAGAAAACCACATCTATTAACGTGCTCCCGCTGGGATGAGCTCACCACCATGGAGCTGATGCCCACAGTGACCCTACAGAACCGAGAAGAGCTGCTCCACTCGGTGGCCAAGGCCGTAACCTCTCTGGAAGCAGACTGCTTGCGACATCTTCCTCCCCTGGAGCAGCTGGGGGTTTGAACCACTGATCTTCAGCCTTGAAGTCTCCTGTTTAAACCACTGCATCTTATTTTGTAAATATTTATAGCCTAGGAAACTCTACAAGGATAGTTCTACTCTGCCCTCTGGAGTGGCTAAGAGTTGGGGCTGACGTGATGGCACATGCTAACGGCAGCAACGGAGCACTGGGGTGAGGTGGGGCAGGATATCTGGTCACTGCCCTCGGACTTGCAACAAGGTGGGAAGCACACGTGGACTCAGATAGTCACATGAAGACCCAGCCAGGGCTGGGAAAAACATGCTTTGGAGGGACAGGACCTTGCTGAAGAGCCAGAGAGCCACAGCTGGGCAAATCTACTGTCCTCAGCCTGACACAGGACAGATGCAAGGTCCCGGCCAATGTGGCCAGTTCACAGGAGCTTGCTAAGTCCCAAAGCAGGTCACTGTGCCAGGAGGTCTAGCAGCAGAAGTGCCAGTACAGCCTGGTTTTGTCTTCACCTGTGCAGGTCATCTGCACCAGGCACCTGGTTTATTCTGTGCGCCTCTCTGTGTGGGACTTTAACGATACAAAGACCATGGCGGACATGATAAGAGGCTGGCCAAGCACGCCCAGGCTCGGAGGAGGAGCCCAGCAGTGGGGTCTGGAGGGTGACTGAGCAGCAGAGGCAGGAGCGGTGGTCATCCCAGCCCTCCCTTCGGCACAGAAGCAAATGGCCAGGCTGTAGGACAGCCCGACAGCCAACTCACAATGTCTATGTCCTCAGGCACTAGGGAGCCATAGTGTGTTTCAGGAAAGGGCATGACATGACCACTAGGCTTGCAAACAATCCCTCTAGTGCAGTGGGGGGGGGGGGCGAAGGCCTGAGGAGAGGGAGGGAAACAGCAGGAAAAAGGACTGACGCTGTGAGACCACCAAGGAGGTGGGCAAGGTGCAACCAAGCCCGGACAGAAATCTCCACACCAAACTCATCACCACCTGGGCAGAAGCAGATGCTGCACCCTAACAGGGGCTGCCCGTCCTCACAGCAGCCTTGTCCTTTCGCGTACCGTTTGTATCAAGCACGTGGGCACAGTACAGTGCTGACTACAATCCCTTTGGATTCTCTGCCTCCAGAGGGGCCCGGGGTACAAGCACAGGTCAGGGCTTCTCGTTCCCACACCAGCTCTTTCAGGCCTCTCCCACCACAGCCTCCTCGCCGGTGTCACCATTCCACCCTCACCAGCCTACTTCTTGCTCATCTTTCAAGCTCAAGGGCATAGAGTCTCAATGCCCCTTCCCCCCACCGTCATCTTCCAAACCAGATCCACTGCTGAGCTGATTCAGACGCACACTGTCAAATTCCCTCAGTAATCTGCGGTCAAGGATCTCTCTAAAGGGACTGATGTCAGTTTAAAGACTAAGTGAGCCTGATACAAGCCATGGTGTTTTCAATTGCTTCTTGTGCATCTGAAAGCTGGACAATGAGGAAGGAAGACTAAAGAATTGATGCCTTTGAGCCGGTGTTGGTGAAAAGCACTGAAAATACCATGGAATGTAAAAAGAACAAAGAAATCTGTCTCGAAGGAGTTGCAGCCAGAGTGCTCCCTAGGAAAAAGGATGATGACACTTATTTTGTTTACTTTGGGCATTTTCAGGAGCAACTAGTACTCAGAGAGATATCATGTGGTCAGAGGGAGAAAGCAAGATTCTCAAGTAGACGGACTGGCCCAGTGACAGCGGGATCAAGCGTCGCAGGCCGTGAGGATGGTGCAAGGTCCCCATGTGTTGTCCACAGGGTCACTCTGACTTTAGTCATAAGCTATGAGTTTAGCGCAATCACCTGCACTTAACACACACACGAAAACGCAGGACAATGAATAAAGGAGACTGAAGAGGAACTGACACCACTGAATTATGTTCTTGGCACAGAATACCAAACGTGCCAAAGACTACCAAGAAAACAAGTAAATCTCTCTTGAAGATGGGCAGTCAGAATGCTCCTTACACATGAGGAGGCGAGACTTCTCTCACAAACTCTGGATGTGTGGTCAGGAGCGACAGACCCCGGAGAACGACATCACGCTTGGTGAAGCAGCGGGTCAGGGAAAGAGGAAGGCCTTCAGAGAGGTGGACGGACACATGGGCTGGGACAAGAGGCTCACACAGCAGTGACCGTGAGGACGTGCAGGACCAGGAGGTGCTGCTCTGCTGCGGGGAATGTCGCTGAGTTGGAACCCACACACCAAAATCTTAGGAAAGCAGATTGCCATGCCTTCCTCTCCTGGAGCAGCTGGTGGGTTCAAACCACCAACCTTTTGGTTAGCAGCCAAGCCCATAATCTATCAATTAGCAGCCAAAGAAATACCCACTGTTCCCTGCCCCCAGGGTTCCCTTCCCCTCATTCAAACCCTGTGTCATCCCTTTCTTTGGCTGGACCCAGTGCCACACTGTCAAGATCAGATTACACAGAGGGTGACACTAGGCCTGGCTGGCCAATCTCAGTGCTGAGGCAAGTGAGCTGCCCTGGGAGAAGCCTACGCAACAGGCACCCACCCTCCAGCCTGTGAGCGAAGGTCAGCTGGCAGTCATGCAAGAGAGCCTGACACAGCCTCTCCTTAGTGGGTCCTCGAGATCCTTCCAGCCCAGCTGACACCCTGACACCTTGAGACTGAGAGACCCTGAGCCAGAGGCCCCCACAGAAACCACGAGGTCCTGAATTCTACGCCCCTAAATGTCAGAGTTGTCTAATTTGCAGGAGCCAACAACCAGTGCACAAAGCATGCACACAGCCCCACAGATTCCTCTCCTGGCCCCAGAGGGGAAGAGTGAGAGCACAGGCACGTTAAAAATGTAATGGGGCTGTCCAAAGTCCACAATCAGTTACATGAATAAAGTCTACATGGAAGATGGCTTTATTGGTTTTGTGGCAAACTTTTTTTTAATTTTTATTTTATTTTTATTATTTTTTGTCTGTGTGTACCGTCAAATCAGATTTGACTGGTACAGGAGATTGTTCCTCCTTCTCCAGCAAAGCATCTGGTGGATTTGAACCACACACCTCTAGGATTACAGTGTAGCTTCTAGCCACTAGGCCACCAGAGTTCGCCATAACTTTCAACAAGACAAAAAAATAAAAACGGGCTGGTTGGGAGATGAGCAGCACAGATGCAGGGCTCTGACGAGGCTGAGCCACCCATTCTGAGGTGCGAATGGGCTTCCTCAATTCTGCTCAGAGTTCATCCTGTCAACCAGCAGGTACCCAGCCTCTCAGGGACCAGTCTTGAGGCTTCAGGAGAGGGCTCGCTGCTGTATCAGGCACAGCCCCTGCCCTCAGGTGAAGATGAGCAGGCAAGCATCGCCTCTGACAGCCGCAGAGGAGCAGCGTGGGGAGGGCATGAAATGAGGGGCTATGAAGCTGGGAAAAGGCTGACACCGATTGTGTGGAACAAGAGTGTGCCTAGTGGTTAGAGGTATAAGCCGTGGAACCAAGCTACTTGCATTAAAATCCCCTTCACAGCTCTGTGTCCTATGCAAATTCCTTTTTGGGCCTCTATTTCTTCAGCTTTAATGCTGGGAAGGTCACATAACCTATCCTTGAAGACGTGGAGTGCACTTTATAAAGTTAGACAGCATCTAAGAGCCCAGCAAATCTCAGGTTTTGAAACGGCGGCTTCCAGGAGTGAGCGGGCTTCAGAGAGGTGTGGGAGACAGACCTCGAAGCTGAGTCTGATTAAACGCTGACATCTGATGTGAGCAACTGAGGAGGAGAAACGCCAGCGTCCCTGGACCAGGAAGAACGTGCCTGTCACCCACCCACGGCAGGGTGAACAGCGCACTGGAGGGGAGGGAGGACGTGGTATTGTCAGACCAGGCGTTGCAGTTAGTCTCTCATGACTCTGCTCCAAGTTGTGATGATCTTATCACGGCGAGAGAACAAAGCATCGCCCAGCTCTGCACAACCCTCACAATTACGGAATTATTGTGTGTTTGAGCCCATTGTTATAACTACGGCACCAGGGGAGGACAATGCCGTCACCGGGCTGAGCAGATTCCCATTCACAGTGACCGCATGTGACAGGGCAGAACGGCCTCACAGGGGCTTCCAGGCTGTAACCTTTACAGAAGCAGAGCCCCAGGTCGTCTCTCCCGCAGAGCTGCTGGGGGGTTCAAACTGCCAAGCGCGCCTCCAGGTCTCTTCACAGAGAACATTACAAACGCCACTGCCTCTGAGGCGATTCTGACTCACAGTGACCCTACAGGACCGAGCGGAACTGTCCCACCGAGTTTCCAAAGCTGTAATCTTTACAGAAGATGACTGTCCCATCTTTCTCCTCTGCAGCTCCCAGGAGGTTTGAACCCCTGACCTTTCAGTTCCCAGCAGAGCACCAAGCACGGAACCACCTGGGTTGCCTAGATTTATTTTTATAATTACTTTTATCATTACCACCTTATGGTTTTCTCTTGCATGTGGTAATGTCAGGTTTCTTATTAAAAATAAATCTACTTAATTATATAAAATGATATCTTGATTGGCTTTAAAAATAACAGCGGAGAAGGGACAAGAAGCGTGACTGAAACAGGATCTGCCACTATTGAGGTTGGATAATGGGGCCTGGGCTTTAGGACCTTAGAATATGCTTCAAACTTTCCATGATAAAATAAAAAAAGTAAACTAAAAAACAGAATGAACAAAAAAGTCACCTTAAAGAAAAACACTGAGCAATGAACAGAGTAAGACACAGGCTCACTGAAGGGCCGAGTCTCTGAGGGAAGAGGAAGCTCCAGGCCCAGTAAATGTAGTCTCAGGAACAGCCTCTGGAAGTTTGTTATTTTTGTTTTTACTTTATTTTCAAATAAAAATAATCCCTCACAGTACTGATTGCGCACTTGTGATAATGTAAGGGTGATCAAAATAATGTGAAACTCATGTTTTAGAATGATGTTCATGACACAGGAAACCTCGAAAAGGAGAAAAACAATCAATCCCTGCCCTCAGCAACTTCTCACTTCCCCAATCATTTCAAGGAGCAGAGTAGTAACTCCTTTTAGCAAGATCCAACTTAGCTGTACTCTTGACCATTAGAATTAAACTCTTCTATATCATCTAGAGGAAGACTCTCGATGAGATGGATTGATTCAGTGACTGGAGTAATTGAGGCAAGAGTGTCAGAGACAGTAAGACTGGATAGAGCAGGATTTCGGGCTGTTGTACATCCGGTTGCTATGAGTCACAGGCCACTCGACAGAACGTAACAACAACAACAACAAATCATCTAATTAAAGGTTTACATATTCATCCAAACCCTTGATACAGTACACTATCTGCTGTCACCTGAAGATCCCTGAATCTGGGATCTATTCTGCACATCTCTGTAACCAAGGCTACACCATCACCTCCCGCAGCATCAGGCTCTGGCCATCACTCGCTATGGTGGACTCGCATCAATGCCTTTGGAATTTAGCAACAACCTTGATTTCTAACACCTTCATCTTCTTAAGAAGTTTTTCCCCACTTTACCGCCCTTCAGGCAGAGGCTTGCTCTGGGCTTACAGGGCCGCTCCAGCTTCCTGTAAGGGTTATCCTGCTGCACTGCTATCCTGGGATTCTTGATGGTCTCCCCACTAGACTGTGAGCTCACAAGGGACAAGCCCTGGCCTGTGTTACATCCCCAGGGGTCACAGAAAGTGCCAACAAACGTTTCTCTGTTGAACAATATAAGGCCAAAAGGAATCACAATCTAAAGTTCTAACAGCTGCCTGCCTTGCCTCAGGGATGCTCCCCACACCCACCACAGGACAGCAGCCCATCATGGGACAGCACTTACCCGTTCAGCATCCTGTGGGCCTCCATGAGATGTTCCATCAGGGTTAAAGTGGTCCCCACAGCTAAGAAGAGATGGTATCAGGCGGGCGGGGAAAGAGTAGTCCACAGGTAGCTGTGCTTAAGGTCTGAACTAGGTTTCTTTCATCCATTTATCAATTCACCTCCCCCATCCATGCATCCATGCACGCTTCCATCCACCCTCCCACCTCCCCATCCACCCATCTATCCATCCATGCATCCATCCATCCATTCATGCACCCATCTACCCACTCGCCTATCTATCCATCCATCCACCCACTCACCTATCCATCCATCCATCTATCCATCCATCCATCCATCCACCCACCCATCTATCCATCCACCCACCCATCTATCTAGCCAAGCACCCACCCATCTATCCACCTACCTACCCATCCATCTGGCCCAGTCATCCACCCACCCATCTATCTAGCCAAGCACCCACCCATCTATCCACCTACCTACCCATCCATCTGGCCCAGTCTTTGCTGGGCTTTGGTTAGAATGTGCCAAAATGACTTTAACATAGTTCCTATTCTTAAGAAGTTTCTGGCTCACCCAAAGGAACCAGAACCACCACTCAAGCAGATAAATGCACACCCATGTTTATCGCGGCTTTGTTCACAATAGCTAGGAGTTGGAAACAACCTAAGTGCCCATCAACAAATGAATGGACAGAGAAGCTGTGGTATATTCGCACAATGTAATACTATGCTGCATTGAAAAACAAGGAACTCATGAAATATTACTCAAAATGGATGACCCTGAAGGACATTACGCTAAGTGAAATATCTCAGTCACAAAAGGACAAAGGCTGCATAGTGCCACTGTTGTAAAACGGGACTGACATCAGGGTTAGGGGGAGACTAAGAAAGATGGGATAAATTATTTATACTGCATTGAAACAGATGAGGGAGAAAACTGTTTAAAAGGGAATATGTGATTAGGTATTATTGTCATGACAGGAGTCCAGAGCGAAGGCTACACAGTGAGTGGACTTGGGGGGAGGGATTGTATAACAGTGAAAAAAATTTTACTTTTCAAAGAGAAGAGCGAACTGGGGAGGGGGAAAGTTGGGCAGGGAGGAAAGTGTAACAATGAATGAATGGAAATCCAAAGTCTCTGTAAACTCTCATTAAAATTAATTTCAAAAAGTAAATAATTTCTTTTTTAAAAAAATAAGTTTCTGGTTCAAGGGAAAACACAGACGAGTCAACAACCCAACAAGTGATGCTACAACGGCATGACAAACCGTGACACAGGACCCTCCCTTCCCATATCTCCGAGTCACCGTCCATTTCTGACATGGTAAAGTGGCTATGAGCAGGGCTGCAGGGTCAGATTTCAGTTCAAATCCCCACACTTTTGCTCTGAGGCCTTTGGCAAGTTGTTTAACCTCATAGTGTCTCACTTTCCTCCTCTGCAGGGTGGGTTTGTGTGTGTATGTACCTCACTGTGAGAACCTAGAGATGTGAGCACAGCCACTGGCATGGCAGGTACGTGACTTACAGAGTAAAGACACTGTCAGGGACAAGGCAGCTTGTTTACCTGTCACAGCTGTTGGTCAAGTCCCCATACTGATGGACATGGAGGCCATGAGGACCTGGCTCCAGACCATCAACGGTCCCCTCGATGAGGCAGCGCTCAGGGTTCAGCTGCAGGAAGCGCACCACCCCCTGCACAGGGCCAAGCCCCCCAAGGATGGCCACTGCTGCCTCCAGGTTCTCTGCAAGGTATCAAGACCTGGTTGGCTCACCTGCTCACCCAGGCCCACCCTTCATCCCACTGGTAAGAGCATGGGAAAAGCCCACACGCCGTCACACTTTCTCCAAAGACACTCCAGTCCAGGTGCCAGATCCAAGCCAAGTCCCTCCCCAGCTGGTAGAGGCCAAGGTCATAGAGGTCACTCACGTAATAGGTTATTGCCCATTCCTTTGAGTACCGCCTGCCTCCCTGTGCCCTCCAGGAGGGCCTGCACCTTTGTGCTGGGCAAGGTGGTCTCCACTAGGACCATCTGGTTCTCCAACTGCACCTCCACACTGTGGACACCTGAGAGGAGAAAGGGCAGAGGGCAGCATAGGGCTGGGCAGCCCAGGGCTGGGGGCAGAGAAGCAAGGGGACGACTGCAGTTCCAACACACGGCAGGAGGAGAAGCAGGGTCTTCAAGCTGAGCAGTCCTGAGAAGGTCTCGTAATACTTTGGAGTTTGCTTCTTTATGTAGAAAGTGAGGATACCACCACCTCGCCCGCAGGGCTATTGAGTTCTTATAATGTGCCAGGTATTGCTCACAAAAGATAATCTTTTATTGTGTTTTCAATGATCTTTTTTTTAAATTAAATAAAAGTTTTATTCAGGTTTTTTCAGCTTTGCATGAAGATAACTGTTTCCTAATTCCAGGCTTGTCTTTCTCATGAAGATTGCGTTTCAGTATTCTCTTCTCTCAGTCGAGTTGCTGTTGCAGCAGAAGCGAGATAATTCCAGACCGTGTCTGACCAGATCATCAGAAGGACTGATGACAAGAGCAGTCACACTGATGACCCCCTCTCCCCCCTCTAGTTCAATGCTGCTGTCCGTGCCGGGGGCCTGTGTTTTCAATGACCTTTAACGCAACTAAGTAAGTTACAATTTAACAACCTCTACACAAATGATTCAATGGCATTGAGTGTATTTTTCACAACATGTCAAGATTCTCCCAAATTCTATCCTGGTGGTTCTATTCCCAGTGACCCCATTTACCAACATCCCGACCTTCCCAGCTTCGCTTTGGAGGGACTGGGACTGCTTACTCTTCTGCAGATGATTTTTTTAAAGCAGCACAGTGTTTGCGGGTTATATTCTTTGTCTTAAAATACTGAGTTAATTTATGAGACTAGAGCTATCCTGCACAACTATCATCTAAGTCTTCAAACCTAGACAATCAAAGTTTTGAGGTGCTTGTTGTTGTTGTTGTTGTTAAGTGCCGTCGAGTCGCAGGTGACTCATAGCGACCCTACGAAGGAGACTCCTCGACGCTTGGTTGCCTTTCATCCTCTCTCCAGGTTCATAGGGTTTCCGGGGGCAAGCTATTATGGAAGTGGATGCCACTCCTCCTTCCTCTGAGGTGCTTAGGGGTACTTAAAAAGTATCTGTAACCGTTGCTCCTGTGTGGTTTATTACATATATGAGTACATAACTGGATGTTGTTTTATGCATTGTCAAGTCAGCACCGACTCATAGCGGAAGCTCCAGTGGGTTTTCAGGGGCTATAAATCACATGGGAAGAGACTGTCCATCTGTCCATGGAGCAGCAGTGGATTCAAACAGCCTGTCTTTGGGTTGGTATTGCAACTCCTTATCCACCAGGCCACCAGTATATACACACAGATACACATAGATGTGTGTACTTGCTGTGGTCGTTACGTACCAGTGGAGTCTGAACCAACTCAGAGCTGACCCTCCAGCTGGTTTGCAGAGGCAGCAAACAGCATGGGAAGAGATGGTGCCACACCCGCCTCGCTGTCCTCTCTGGCCACGACGCCTGTGTGACAAAATGGGTCGTCCGTGCCTGTACGGGGTCTCTGACCTCAAGGATAGCATAAGAGGGAATCTTGCAAGCCCTGTGCTTGTGAGTGGGCTGATGCCTGGATATTTGTTACAGATGGGTCTTCGTAATCCTGGGAAACCTCTGGAAATTAAGTTGCTTCTAGGATAAGAATGGGAGTTTCTGGGGAAAAATCAGGGGAACTTCACCAGAACTGGGATAAAGATTTAATTAAAGTCTTTAATCAGGAACCATTTGATGTTCCTGGAAATGATAACAAACAAGCTGAAAATATAAAAGAAATTGAGATTGTTCTTAAAAGTATAATTTTGAATATGATCTTTGAGTATGTATCTAATTCCTCTTTTGTGATACTTGCAACTCATATTCAGCAATGTAATTGTGTATTAGGAGAAAGTTTAGACTAGTTTTAACAGCAGAAAGTCATAGTTAATGAGAATAAAACAGAGAGGTTTAAGAAAAGACTCAAAAGACAAACTTCTCTAAAAGTAAAGGTCTCTTTAAGAAATAGGAAATATTACCAGATAAATAATAGGTGGTGGGAAGAAAGTACTTATAAAGGACCATATGTCCTGCCAACTCCAACACCAGTACCTCTTCCTTATACAGACGTTTTGTATTCCAAAGAAAAAGAATTGAATATTACAAATTAACTTGGTAAAAACAAGTTAAAGGAAGTCGTCCACCTTTGCCAAACAAAAAACAAATTAAAATCTTATGACAAGTTGCAAAAACTATTGTTAAACATAGGAATGGTCCAGAGTGTAAGAAAATAGATGTTAAGATTCGTTAGGTACAGTACAAATATGAGTACAAAGGCAAAAACAAAGGTGGCTAAAATACAGTGACACAAAGTAGGAGAGGAAAGGAAGTGAAATCTAAACCATTAACCATTGTCTAGCAGATGACCAACATAAGGTCATTGTGTTTCTTGTTCAAAGAATGTTTAATAGCCGATGCTATTATTTAGTAATAGAAAATACTTTCTTTTTGTTAAAATCTTATGTGAGCTTTGTAATCACAAAATGTTGGCTATAAGTCAAGTTTAAACAAGTTTAAATGTATAAAAAGCAAGCTTTTAGCATAATAAATCAGAGCTCTCTACATCATCCTGGTGTGCAGACTCTCATTTTCGCCGACTTCGTCCCTCACCTGCTCTTCACCAAGAACCCCCTTGAGTTTCTTGTCACGACCGTAGTCGGGTGGTCGGTGACAAGATGGCCCACCTTTCTCGAATAGAGTAGCTGGTGGATTCAAACAGCCTGCCTTAGAATTGGGGCTGCAACTCCTTACCACTAAGCCACGAGAACTCCACTTCTGCGCATCACATGTATGCTTACAAGTATATATATATATCTGTGGGAAGCCAAATTTCATAAACATAAATGATAAACCAAATGCTATGTGAGGATATGAGGGAGGTGCAGATGCAAACTGGACTTCCCCCTGAAGCACCATGGCAGACTTTAGGGGTTTTCACAATTCTTGTATTTGCTAAGCCCTCCCTCCTGAGTCAAGTGTAAGGTTTTCAATAGAAAGAGCTTAGCTTCATTTGCATGGAATTCTCTTTGTGATTTGCTCCCTGGCATTTTTCAGTAAAGACACAGGGAAGCTGAGTTTGAAGGAGCTTCAGTTCTTCCAGCCATTCGCCCTGCTTTACGCTGTTTTCTCCTCCATTCTTGGGGTCCCCTCTTGTTCTCTTTATTCTTTTCCCTCAGCCGACAACATATATCTACACATAATCTGCATATATGCAAATGTTACTACACACATTTTCAGAGGGATTGCTGGTGTTCATGAACTTTTGAAGCAGCTAGCAGCCAAAAGGCAGAAACAAGCCAAATGACTTTCACTAGGCGATAAACAGATAAAATGTAGTATATGAATACTGAGTATTTTCTAGGCTGTAAATGTTATAGAAGCAGATTGCCAGATCTAACTCCTAAAAAGCTGTTAGGTGGGTTTGAACCATTAATCTCTAGGTAAGTAGTCAAGCACTTAGCCATCTGCACCACCAGGCCACTAAAAAACAGTTACAATGCAAACACCAAAGCCACTGCTTCCACATCAGTTTTTTTTTTAATTATTTTGTGTGTGTGTACCGTCAAATCAGATCTGACTGGTACAGGAGGATATTGCGCCTCCTTCTCCGGCAGAGCATCTGGTGGATTCGAACCGTGTTTCTCTGGGATTGCAGTGCAGCTTCTTGCCACTAGGCCACCAGAGCTCCCCACCACATCAGTTTTTGTTTGTTTTTTTTTTTTTACCACATCAGTTTTGACTCACAGCAATCCTAGAGGATTAAGCAGGACTGCCCTGTAGGATTTCCGTTTCTACGGGGGCAGACTGTCTCATCTCCCTCCAGGAATGGCCTGATGATGAGTGGTCCAGTGCTTAACTCATCACACCACCTTATATCATCCACAAGTAGAAACAAAGTTCTGAGGCACGGTATCACATGGGTAATCCTGGAAAACAGCACATCAAGCAAAGGACTCACGATACAAAAGACGGTATATTGTACATCCCACTTGGTGAAATGTGTAGAATCATAAATGTCCATCGTCATAAAGTAGATGAGTGACTGGTTAGGGCTGGGAAGGTGAAGCCGGGGGGAAGATTTAAAGATTCGAGGTTTCTTTTTGGAGCTCATGAAAATGTAGTAAAATGAAGGGAGCTCTGGTGGCCTAGTGGCAAGAAGCTGCACCGCAATCCCAGGGGTATGTGGTTTGAATCCACCAGATGCTGTGCTGGAGAAGGAGGGGCAATCTCCTCCTGTACCAGTCAGGTCCGATTTGACGGTACACACAAAAAAATAATAAAATTTAAAATTTTTTAAAAGAAGAAAATGTTACAAAATGAATTGTGGTAATAGTTGTGCAATTTTGTGACTACTGAACGACATACATAATGCAGTGATTTGCATGGTATGTGAGCTGTGCCTCAATGGGCTGTCAAAAAAAGAGGAAGGTGCAGAATTATCATTACAAGAGGTAATAAGCATGGAGCACAAGCTGGGGTGCAGTGCATTACCTGATCTGCTCCCTCTGCTAGAGTCCTTGTTAACTCCTACCATGTGATTATGTAAATGTGGGGTGTTGGACCTTCACTAAGTGGATTAGATATTAAATATACTATTAGCTGCCAAAAGATCAAATGGATCTACGTTGGGGGAAGTGCAGTCAGAATGTTCCTTAGAAACGAGGATGGTGAGATTTCATCTTACTACTCTGAGTATGTATCACTTCAGTTTGTGGAGAAAGACAACAGGCCTGGCAACACGGAGTCAGTGAAAAACAGGAAGCCCTTTGATGAGAGACTGTGAGGTTGGCAGAAGACTGGGTTGCTTTACTCTGAGTTAGAGACCATTCAATAACACCTAACAATATCAAGAGGCTTGGATACCTTGCTAACAATGGGAACAAGGCATATGGCAACCTGGTGGGATGGGATCATGCAAACAGGGTGTATGGAAAACTAGCACACAATTTGGTAGTGCTTAAAATGAGCCAACCCAGAGGCGGAAAAGAGGGATCTCCCCGCCATCAAGAAAGAAGAGCCAGGAGTGTGGAGTGCGTTCTTTGGACTTGATTTACCTGTGCTGAAAGTCCTCAGCCCAGAGGACAGAGAGCGATAATTCCAGAAAGACAGCACACGATGGCAAGTGATATAAGCGAGGATAACAGGGACACAAAAGTGCCCTGAAGGTATAAAAGCAGTAGCAGATAAATGGAGGTAGAACAAGACACTAACAGAGACAGAGTGAGAAAGCTGAGCTCCTCAGGCAGGGGGCTTGCTGGCAGAGCGGGATGCTTGCGGGCATTTTCCAGGGAAGGCAGGTTTGTGGACCCGCCTGCTGGAGCCCAGGGTCTTTGGGCCTAGGCTTGCTGGCAGAGCAGGGTACCACTAGGCACTTAACCCGGCAGAGCTGAATGAGCTGCTCAAGCAGGAGAGAGGCCAAAGCCACAAGGCTGAGGCTCAGGCTGCCTTTCAGCACAGCTGAGAAGAGACTGTTCCACTGAAAAGTGGTGTTCCCGTCCCGTCTTCATTGACTGTGACTCTGGGTTGTAACTTGTTACTTCCCTAATCAACCTCCTAATCACGAGTCTATTCTGTGAGCTCTGTGTGGCCACTGCAGTTAATTAGCAAACCCAGCAGAGAAGCAGAGAGTATCAAGGATGTCTCATCGGTCAGGCAGGGGTTGTGAATGCTGTCGATGAGGATTCTCTTTCCCTATTGTGAACTTAAGTGGAAGTCAGGTACCCCTCCATCCCTAAGGCCATGCCATCTTGCACCTTCTTCTAAATGCTCTGCCTGTATTAGTTCATTTGAAACTCGGAGGAATCCTGTGCTTTGGGTAACTGCTCCTATTTCTACAGGGAGCTCTGACGGCATAGTGCTATAGAGGGTTTGCAGCTAACAATGGCCACACCTCTCTGGCAGTTAAAATGCACCAGCCGTTCTGTGGGAGAAAGATAGGCAATTTCTTCCCATGCAATTTACAGCACTGGAAACCTCTCCGAGGGGTCATTTAAGAACCAGTTCTGGCAACCTCTGGTGGTCTAGTGGCAAGAAGCTGCACTGCAATCCCAGAGGAGAACGGTTTGAATCCACCGGATGCTCTGCTGGAGAAGGAGGGACAATCTCCTCTTGTGCTATCAGATCCAATTTGACGGTACACACACAAAATAATAATAATAATAATAATAATTTTTAAAAAGAACCAGTTCCAATCTAACAGCAATGATTATGATTCCTATTTTACAGAAGAGAAAACTGAGGCAGACAGTGAGACAGGAAATGTGCTTCCAGGCACACTGCAGTGCTGTGGAACGGCGCTCCAAGCCCACATGGCTAGCTCCAGAGCCTGAGCCTTTAACAGAACACGGACTACCCTGAAGGACTGTCCCCAGACTGCCTTGATCAAGGCCATGGCCTTGATCAAGCTGGAACAACATTATCTGATGTATAATATTTTTAAATAATCAGTTTGGCTTTTATGTGGAAAGGCTATTGGAAGGCCATCAGAGGCAGCAGAGTGCCTACAAAGTTCTTGCTCAGTTTGGGAGAGAGGCGAACTGATTTTCTGCTTTCAAAGGAGGAAGGCTAGAAGCTTTGCAACTACACATCCCCAGATCTGAGTCTGACCAAGAAGGCAAGTTCCTCTGGGAAGCATCAACTGTAATCTCCGTGTGGCTATGCAGAAGTTACAGGGAGCTCCAGGAAGTGAGCCTTGGGTGGAACTCCTCCCACTGAACCCTGGGCAAAGATCAAGGTCTCAGGCATCCCAGAGAGGGGAGTCCTTGCTCTCTGCCCATTCTGGGAAACAAGTTTCCCACCTAGCCTGTGAGAATGCCAAACTACTCCAGCTGCCCAGAGCAGATAATGCACATAGTCATAATCTGGTGCCTGAAAGGCCTGCGGAGGGCTGGAAACCAGCCTGGGGCCAACAGATATCTAAGTATCAGCTCTCTCAGCAAAAATGCGTTATAGGAAGTGGAGGGCTTTCTGTCGTGAGAAAGTCTTGGGTCAGAACAGTCCACACAACAGTGGACTGAGTCAATCGCTATCAGATTAACTCCAACACTCCAAACACGAGGTCTAAGCAAAGCTAGATTCTAAGCAATCAATATGTAAGAAGACTGAAGAAGAATGAATGCCGTTGAACTGTGGTTAGTGAAAGGTATCAAATCTACCCTGGCCTGCCAAAAAGGAGAAATAAAGCCAAATTGGAGGAAGTGCAAGCAGAGTTTGCCTTAGAGGTAGAGATAGTGAAGCTTCATCTCACACACTCTGGGCATGTTGTCAAGAGGTGCTCGTCCTTTGGAAAAGGAGACGGTCAGCGGAAAAAGACAAAGAGAAGATGGACTGAGGCAGCGAGTGCAACAAGGGGCTTCAGCACTGGGGGAGGCGTGGAAATGGCACTGGTTAGGGCAAAGTTTCCATCTGTTATTCACAGGGTTGCTATTAGTCGTAATTGACCCGACCAACCACAAGGCTGACAGGCCCTCGGGGCTACTTATCTACCAGCTGCTCTGAGGGGAAAATGAGAAACCTGATTGGACGATGCATGTGGTTTTGAGTTTTACACCCACCTGTGGTTACACTCTCATTTGGTTCCAGCTCCTCAACTACAACAGTGTGCCTCCCACAGAGCTCCAGGACAGATGAAGTCCAAGTTTGTCTCTGTTACGTTGCTTTGATTGGTGTAGGCTATGCTCTGCGTCAATCTCTGACAAAACATAAAAAGAGCTGAATAAGGAAGCAGAGATGGGGGGAGACTGTAAATTCCATGGACATCTCCAAGAAACAAGCTGAAGGGACAAGGACTTTGCTCTAGAGCCACAGAGATAAAAAGCTTTCCCTACAGCTAGCACTTTTGGTACCAACAGCCGGGAAACCAAAAGATGAATTGCATTAGGAAAGTCAGCTGTCAGGGACCTCTCCATAGTACTGAAGAGCAATGATGTCAGTCTGAAGAATAAGGTGCACCTGATCCAGGTCACAGTCTTCACAATTATTTGTTATGCATCAGAAAGTTGGACAATGATGAAGGAATGATAGAAAAGGAGAACTGATGCCTTTGATCTGTGGTGTTGGAGAAGAGTCCTGACTATACCACGGACTGTTAGGAGAAACAAACAGGTTTGTCCTAGAGAGGGTGAAACCAGGCTGCTCCTTGGCAGCAAGGATTCTGATGCTTTGTCTGGGCATGTGGCCGGCCAGGAGGGTCCAGTCCTTGGAGAGGGACATCATGCTTGGGAGGGTGGAGGGACAGCACAGGAGAGGAAGACTTTCAATGAGATAGATTGTTTCAGTGAATGGGGTAATGAGGGTAAGGTGTGTCAGAGACAATAAGGTTGGCACAGCACAGCACAGGTTTCAGGGCTATCGTCCATGGGGTTATTATGAGTCACAAGGGACGTGATGACACATAAAAACAACCACAACAATAAAGCTAGTGCCCTGATTCCAAACTTCCAGCCACCTGTGAGAAAAGACATTCTTGTTTATTAAAGCCTTCTACTTGTAGGATTACTTTAAGAGCAGTGTTGGGCAGCCAAGGCATGCTTCCTCTCAGTTAACTGAGCTTTACTGGGTTCTTACATGCCACAGCCTTTTCTAAAGAGCTTTCTATGCCTTCACTAATGTTCTCTTCATCATAGTCCTTCAGAATAGATTCTGTGACTATCCCTGCTTAAAAGCTGAAGAAGCAGAGGTAACAAACAGAAACTGCATAGGACACAGAGCTGTAAAGCAGTAAAATAGATCAGAACCCAACCTGCTCTTCAGGAAGTCTTCTGTGACAGTCAGAGGCAATGCTTGCCTGCTCATCTTCATCTGAGGGCAGGGGCTGTGCCTGATAAAACCAGGGAGCTCTCTCCTTACAGTCTCGGGACTGGTCCACAAGGGATCGAAGTATCTGCTGAGGGACCAGATGAACACTGAGGAAGCCCAGCCTGTTTGTAGCTCAGTGTTAGTGCTTTTACTGTCTCAGACCTCTCCAAGTGCGCCAGGTCAACTCCAGATCAGCTGACTTTTGGGAACCAGGAGTCACAGCCAGGGCTGCTGTTTGCTCTGTCAAGATACAGCTATCTCCTACACAAGAACTATTTCCTAAGACACGTGTTCTGGAAGAGGTGTGAGGTTCAGTCTGACTCCTCAGGTTCCAAGACAGCTGAGGTCCAGGACACCAGGACAGAATGACCCAGTCATTCAGCGGGTATAGAATTGAGTTCTACTTCTGGGTAGCTGTGTCTCTGAAAACATTCTTTCCTCTCTGAGTCTGTTCCTGCATCTGTGGGATGGGATGTACCTAGATTCTCTCAGAGGCCTTGGGACAACTGTCCATAGAAAACTTCAGCACACCTATGTTTATTGCTGCTTTGTTTACAATAGAAAAGAGATGGAAATAACCCAAGTACCCATCAACAAATGAATGGATAGAGAAGCTGTGGTATATTCACACAATGGAATATTATGCAGCACTGAAAACAAAGAACTCATGAACTATTATACAAAATGGGTGACCAAGAAGGACATTATGCTCAGTCACAAAAAGACAAATACTGCATAATACCACTGTTATAAAACAGGACTGATGGGGGGTCCAGGGGAAATTAAAAAAAGAGGGAATAATGTACACGGTATTGAAACAAATAAGCGAGAGAACTGTATAAAAGGAATATATTATTAGGTATTATTGACATGACAAGAGACCAGAATAAGAGCTGCATAGTAAAGTGGTCCTGGGGGTGTGTGGTGTGTGTGTGTGTGTGTGTGTGTGTGTGTGTGTGTGTGTGTGTCTATAACAATGAAAGAACTTTTTTTCCAAAGAAAAAAGCGAACTGGCTGGGAGGGGGCACAGGGAGGAAAATATGCAACAATGAATTAATGGAAAAAAGTTATTAAATATTTAGGTTAATCAATAAAATATTAAAAAAGAAAAAGAAAACTTGACCTGGCTCTTACCTGCCACCCCTTGCAGGGACTTGTGAACCGCATCCACACAGCTCTGACAGGTCATCTGCACAGCGAACTCGAGCTACAGGAGCAGAAAGGATGGGCTGGTAAGATCTGGGGGTGAAGCCTGCCTGATCCTATTTCATCTACCTCTACTACAATAATCTGAAGGCCTAGGGACACACTCCAACAAACCCTTTTTCAACCAGCCAGTTCACAATTATTCTATGACTCGGTCACATGTCCCAGGAACTCCTGCCAAGGGCCTTGATACCTTTGTACCCAGAGCTGGATTGCCCAATAACAAAGTAAACAAACATGGCTTTACTCGAGCTTTCTTATTAAACTCTAAGGAACAGTTTCACATTTCTCCACCCTATCAAAGATCCTGCTTTGAGGGATGGTTGGTATCTGTTCACATACCCCCCTTTACATCTTCCTACAGAATCAAAGCTTCTTTTTAACGTTACAATTCAGTTTCACTTTTCTCCACCCTATCAAAGCTTCGAGGGATGGCTGATAACTGGTTTTTCCCCCGACTTTACACCTTCCTACAGAATCAAAGCCTCTTTTTAAAAGTTGCAATTCCTACCCGGGACGGAGTGCCCAGTAAACCAGGGATGTTTCTTAACTCGCACCCTGGTCCCAGGCTCGTTAGCGAACTGCACACACGGTCTCGACTCTCACCTTGCAGGAGGCCCCGCTGTCTCCCGAAGTCGACGCCATCCCGGCCGTGTCGCCTGTCGCCGGCCGCACAGTGGGACCTGCCGGTTGCAGGACCGCGGACACGCAGGGACGGGACACGCAGGGACGGAAGGTACCCGCCACCCCGCCCCGTCGCGCGTGCGCACTCCAGACCTCGCGCCTGACGCCTCGGAGGCCGCGCAGGCGCACTCGCCTCGCCCGCCCTGGTTGTCATAGTAACGGCTTCTCCCGGTGTCTGTGGACTTGACCGACGCCAGGATGAAGCCGCGGACTTTGGAGCCCGAGCTCCAGCACGTTTATCACCGATTGCTGCAGCCGCTGTCGCTCATCCCCGGCCGGGCGACGCCCCGAGAGTCTCGGCACCTCGACCCGCGCTTGGTCCGGGCGCTGGAGGCGGAGCGGCGCGTAAAGCTGACAGCGTCGTCGCTGTGCCTGCGGGTCGCCGAGCGGCTGGCCAGCAGCGGCCAGGACGCGCAGGTGTCTCCCGAGGGCCGACACCGCCTCGCCGAGGTCATCCTGCAGGAGTTGAGGTGCGGCTGGCAGGAGCCACCTGCCGAAGCTAGTCTGAGCCCCCAGAACAACCAGAAGCTTCGGCAGCGCCTGGAGACCTACGTGTTGGTGAGCAGCGAGCAGCTCTTCCTGCACTACCTGCACCGGCTGGTGGCCCTGTCGGGCCCCGACAGTGTCTTTACCGAGCCTGCCACCCTCACCCGCTTGGCCACCGGGCTCTCCAGGGACTGCACGCTCTTCCTCACCGGCCCTGACGTCTACCGTGGGGTGCTCGCCGACTTCCAGGCCCTGCTGGGAGTCCATCAGGGCCGGGGCCACACTGGCCCCGTGCGGACATTCAAGCTCTGCCCGATCCCCCGGCCTCAGAGCACCGGCTTCGCCCAAGTGCCATGTTCCAGTCTCGACTTGAACCACCTCATCCATCTCAGCCGCCCTTCGGAGTTTCAAGTCGAGTCAGGGCAGGATCCTCTGAAAGAGCTCAAGACCATCCCCCAGTTGAAGAAGAAAACAACTCTCTTCCAGCTGCCCAGCAGGCCAGCGAAGAAGAGCGCAGCTTCCGCAAAGACTGTGTCACTGCCCAGCCATGTTGCAGCTCCCAGCAGCCAGGCTGCCCCCAGCTTCCAGAGCCCCCTCACCTCCCAGCTCCGCCGCTACCAGTCCATGCCGTCTCTGCGGGAGGGCTGGAAACTGGCCGATGAGCTGGGCCTTCTCCCGCAGCCCCCGCGCACTTGTACCCCCCTGGTCCTGGTTGCGGAGAGTAAGCCAGAGCTGGCAGAGAATGCAGTGGCTGAAGATCTGAAGAAGCTGATGAGGAAACTGAAACTGAAGAGGCCTCAGGGACTCCTAATGGACACTGACCTGCACCCACTCCTGGGGGTCCAGACCCGCGGCCCAGAGGCAGAGCACCGCCTAAGAGAGCTGCAGAGGATGTTGAAGACCCTGGAGGAGGAGGAGGAAGCCTTGGAACTGAAGGATAACCAACACCTCAAAACTCCTCCACTCCACCCACAACCACACACCACAACACTGAAGCTCAGAAATCAGCTTGTGGTGGAGACCGCTGTTGTAAGAGTGTCCGACAGAAAGTTCGTGGACTCCTTTCACGTGGAAGGAGTCGGAGTCCTGTACAACCACCTGACCGGGGAACTGGACTCCAAACTTGTGGAAGAGATGGACCGCAGCCACGTTGTGAGCGATAGCACCTGGGAAGTTTACAAGGAGTTAATGAGCCACATCTCCACAAACCACCTGTCTTTTGACCAGGGTCCCCTGATTGAGCCTACTACAGATAAAGACTGGTCAGCCTGCCTGTCCTCGTCCTGCCTGGACCAAGAAAAAGAGTATCGCATCATAAACCCAGAGCTGGCAAAACTTTACACCCAGGGAGCCAACAAGCCAAGGCCCCACCCTAGTAAGACTGTCTCCGTTTCATCGCTGCATGGGAACAAAACCTTGGACCTACGATCCAACAAAGCCTTGTGGATGGAAAGCTGGTGGAAAGCCAATCTTTCCCAGGAAGACTACTTAAAATTCCTCCACACCGAGAAGACGGACTTCCTCCATGTCATCTTCCACATGTATAAAGAGGAGGAGCCGCCTCCGGAGAAGTTGGTGGCCCCTGCCAAGGAGTCCCAGAAGCTTTCTCACCCACTCCCCTTGCTTGAAGAGAAGGAATCGTGGGATTTTGTGCCTGGCGAGTGGGATTGCAGGACAGTACTGCCTCATGGGCTGGGGACTGCCAAACTCGGCCTCCTGAGTGAATACCAAAAGCTCCCACCCCTGCAGAAGCGTCTGGAGCGGCTGTGGTCCGTCCTTGAGTTCCCCCACAGGGACCGGCTGGATATGGCCATCAAGTACAGCTCCGATTCCTGTCTGAGGCAACTGCCTGCGCTCCTGGATGCCTGGGAGTGGGCCCTGAAGCCCATTAGGCTGAGGGAGATGCTGCTGGCAAAACTGGAGGCTTTTGAGCAGCAAGCCTCCAACCCCAACCGATTCTTCCAGAAGCCTTTCATTGGCCTGAATTGCCTGGTGGAGGAGAGCAAGAGCCGCAAAGAGCTCCAGAGGCAGCTCAGGCAGGTAGAGGCCTCCTTGGTTCCCCTCTTGGAGGAGATCGAGTTAATCTTTCATGAGCCATTGACCTTCAGGGGGCGGCGCTACCTGGACAAAATGAAGCACGACCAGGTGGAGATGCTGTACTGGCTGCAGCAGCGGCGGCGGCTCCACCGGCTTGTCCAGACCCAGAAGGCCTACGGTCCTCAGACAGCCCAGTCTGGGAGAAACAGTAGCCAGCACTTGGCAGCTCCTGGGAATACTTCTGTTACCCTTTGACCTTGGCAAGGGCCCTCTGTCTCTCTCTCTCTCTCCTAGGTGCCCAGCAGTTCATTCAACCATCTTGACTGCTTTGAAAAAAGACATGTGTCTGCACCAGGGAGTGCAGGGCTCAGAAACATGGTGCTTTCAGACTTGGTTCTGACAATGAAGTTCTCATTAAAGGATCCTGTGGGCCCAGTTTTCTCATTTGTATCAAGTCATGTACAGCCCAAATCATATCAAAAGAACTGAAACCATCTCTCTATGATGTGGTGTGTCGGGTGGAGGCAGACCATGACCTTTGGAACAGCACAATTTAGCTCAACTAGCACTTGACATTAAGCTAACTGACTAGTGCCTCAAGTCAAGAGGCTCTCTGGCATAATGTTTAAGAGATAAGGCCCCCAAGTCAGCAGATATAGGTTTAAATCTGGCTGTAGCTTTGGGCAAGTTACCCAGCTTCTCTGCACCTACGTCATCCATCACATGTCAGATCTTGATCGTGAAAGACCTTTAAACAACTGAAGTTTTGAGTTCCCACTTCTTGTATTCTTTGATAGAGCTAAAAGTTTTAGTGGAAATTTTACAAGTTAGTGCAAGCACATGGTACAAAACACATAAGAATATGTCCTGGAAGTATGTCTCCATCTTATCCCTTCCTCCCCAGCCATTATCAGTTTTTGTATGTTGTCCCATTCCTTTCACTACTCGTTGAATATTTCTTGAACACCTGCTGGTGTTGAGGAACCTCTGGTGGCATAGTCCATAGGGAGCTGTACTGCTAACCCAGAGATTTCACCTCCCTGACAGTTTGAGAGCACAGGGCTCCATTGAAGAAAGAGAAGCAATCTCCCCTCGTGTGAGTTACAGCTTCAGAAACCTCTACAGGGCCTGCTAGGAATCAGGTCCAACCTCACAGCAATGACTTGACTTGGTGTTCGATACCTGGTGAATGACACAAGGATATCCCTAGTTTATAAAGCACAGTACTTAAGCACATTAAATAAGAGAGTGTTAAGTGATAACTATTCAGGTGGGGCAGGAAAGAGTAGGTAAAATAGAGTTAAGGGATGATTGCTGTAGTGATTTTTATAATTTCAAATTTATTTTAATGAAAGTTTACAGAGACTTTGGATTTCCATTTATTCATTGTTGCACTTTTCTCCCTGCACCCCCCCCCCAAAGCTGTAGTTTTAATAAACACTCAGGACAAGCCAGACTTGGAAAGTGAGATTTGAGCAGACTCAAAGTGGGTTATCTAACTCTGCTGGAATAGAACTATCACAAGCAGATGGATTTAACAGATACATTTCTATTGCTACCATGTAAAATAAGTATAAAATTATTGCCACCATCTCCAAATTATTAAGGAGTAATGATGTCAGTTTGAGAACGAGGGTGCGTCTGATTCAGGCCATGGTCTTTCCAATTATTTGCTGTGCGTCTGAGAGTTGTACAGTGAATAAGAATGACAGAAGAATTGACGCCTTTGAGCTGTGGCGTTGGAGAAGAGCACTGAACATCCCATGGACGGCCAGAACAAACAGATATATCTTGAAGAGGTGCAGCTGGAGTGTTCGTTGGAGGCAAGAATGATGAGGCTTCACCACACATACTTTGGGCATATTGCTAGTAGTAGTTTTTCCTTGGAGAAGGACATGATGCTGGGAAGGGTGGAGGGCCAGTGAAGGAGAGGAAGACCCTCAACTGGGAGGATTGACAAAGTGACTGCTGCAATGGGCTCTTATGTGTCAGGAAGAGTAAAGATGGTGTAGAATAGAGCAGGGTTCACAGGATCAGGGTTCAGGTCTTCTGTTCATAGTGTTGCTCTGGGTCGTACTCGACTCAATGACACCTACAAACAACTATGCAAAAGGATCTGTTGTTGTTTTTGAATACCCATCATTACAGTCACCATCAATCTGTCTCTTTGAGGATCTTCCCCTCTTTGACCACCTGTCCTTCCCAGGAAGATGTCTTTTCCCAAGCATTGGCCCCTCCTGCCAGTGTGCCCAAAGCATGTAAGGCAAAATGTTTACTCATCCTTGCCTCTAAAGAACACTTCGCTTGTACTTCCTCAAAAATAGATTCATTTGTACTTCTGACAGTCCATGGGATATGCAGTACTCTCTGCCAACACCACAAGACAAAGGCATAAATTATTTGTCAACTTATCTTGCAACTTTCAGATGCATGTGTCATTGTTGTGTGCTATCAAGTCAGAACTGACCGCTAGCTGACCCTCCGGTGGGTTTTCAGAGGCAATAAATGGCATGGCAGAAGATTGCCCACCCTTCTGGAGCAGCTGGTGGATTTGAACTATGTGCTTTTGGGATTGCAGTGCAGCTTCTTACTAGGTCATCAGAGCTCCTTTTCAGATGCATATTGTGTTGTTCTTGTTATGAGCCCTCAAGTTGCTGTGACTCACAGCAAGCCTACATGTACAACAGCTCTGAACCTTGTCCTATCCTGAGCCAATCTCATTGTCTCCGACAGCCCCAATCCCCCTTCTCCAGTCACTGTGTCAATCCATCTCATCCTGGGTCTTCCTCTCCTGTACTGTCCCTCCTCCTTCCAAGCATGATGTCCTTCTCCAAGGACTAGTCCCTCTTGGCCACATGCCGAAAGTATGGGACACAGAGCTTCAAAATCCTTGCCTTCAGCGAATAGTTTGGTTTCACCCTCTCCAGGACTGACCTTTTCTCCTGGCAGTCGCAATATATTCAACACTCATGCAGCACCACAACTCAAAGGCATTGATTCTTCTGTCGTCCTTAGTCATTGTCCAGCTCTCTGACACATAGCAAGTAATTGCAAAGACAATGGCCTGTATCGGGCACACCTGAGTCTCTAGACTGACATCGTTGCTCTTCAGATGCATAGGAAGCAATTAAAACACTTGTTTTGTTTTTTTAAAACACTACTTCTTGAATCAAGTGTGCCTTAGTCATTAATAGCCTAGAAGACTTTGTTGTTATGTGCTATCAAGTCTGAACCAATTCATAAACAGGCCTTCCAATGGGTTTTCAGTCTGTAAATCAATGACAGGGAAGATTGCCCACCTTTTCCCATGGAGCAGCTGGTAGCTTTGAACGTTTGGGTCAGCAGTGCAGTTCCTGAGCACTGGGCCACCAGAACTCCAGAGGCTTTAAAGAAGGTTTCCTCTCTCTGATGACTCTGGTCTTGTCTCTTCAGCTTCTTTCCTAATTCCTTTGAAATCCTCATGTGTTGTCACATCTGTCTTCCCCTATCTCTGCTTATCTTGCTTGTGATTTAATTCCTTTTATGTTAAAGGAGATCTAAAACATTCTCTGCTAATCCCATCTCATTAAAATAACAAGGAAACCCACCCGCAAAGTAGGATTATAGTCACTGATACAGGGAAGTATTTACAGCATATATTTTGGAGGAACAATACAAAATACAACATTCCACCCTTTGGCTCCCCAAAAATCCTACTCACATGCAAAACACATTTTTTAAATTTTTTTAAATTCTAAAATAAAGGTTGCCTTTACCAAAATATAAAACCCACATTCACACTGCCACATCCTCTCAAAAGTCTTAAATCATCTTCTGAGTCATCTAAATGTGGGTGAGACTTTGTTGTTGTCAGGTGCCACCAAGTTGCCTGCAACTCATAGCGACATTAGCTCTGAAACCTGCCTTATCCTGAGCCAATCTCGTCGTCTCCAACAGACATAATCCCATTTTCTCAGTCACTGAGTCAATATGTCTCATCCTGGGTCTTCCTCTCTTGCACCCTCTCTACCCCTTCCATGCATGATGTCCTTCTCCAAGGACTGGTCCCTCCTGGCCACATGCCCAAAGTATGTGGGATAGAGCTTCAAAATCCTTGCCTCCAGGTGAGACATTTAAAGTGCCCATTCTGGGGCAAAATTTCTCTTCATCTGTGAATCTGAGAAATCTACATCTGTTTCCCAAGTACCATGAAATTGTTAAGCACCATTGAGTTGTTGTTAAGTGCTGTTGAGTCAAGTACGACTCACAGTGACTCTATTATCAGCAGATCTGAACTCCACCCTATCCTGTGCCACCTTCACACTTCCTAACACATTTTAGCCCACTGATGGCAGTCACTGTGTCAATCCACCTGGTTGAGGGTCTTCCTCTTCCTCGCTGACCTTCCACCCTTCCCAACATCATGTCCTTCTCCAAGGAATAGCACCTCCTAGCAACATGCCTGATGTATGTGAGATGAAGCCTCATCATTCTTGCCGCCAAAGAACACTGGCTGTACCCTCTCCAAGACATATTAGTTTGAAGAAGACATATGCTCTTCTCAACACCACAGCTCAAAGAGATCAATTCTTCTTCTGTCATCCTTATTCATTGTTCAGATCTCGGATGCACAGTGAGTGATCAGAAAGACTATTGTCTGTATCAGACATGCCTTAGTCCTCAAACTGATACTCAGTTATTTGTAGAGTTCCCTAACTGCAGATTTTCCCAGTGCAATAAGTCTCCTGAATTCCTGACCGCTGGTGCCAAGGATGTAAGTCCAAGTTCAATGAAGTTGTTGACAGTTTCAATCTCTTCTCCATTCACCATGATGTTGCCTGGTGGCTTAGTAGTTAAGGAATTGTGCTGTCAACCCAAAAGCATGAGGTTCTAATCCGCCAGTGCTCCATGGGAGAAAGATGGACAGTCAACTCTCCTGCTATTCTGCTGCCCCTGAAAACCCACTGGAGGGTCAGTTACTAATTCAGTAGTGGCTAGACAGTACACAAAAACAAATTTTGAAGGAGTTGATTGTCTTTGTCCCACGGAGTAGCTGGTGGATTTGAACCACATGCCTTTGAGTTGGCAGCACAACTCGTTACCACTGAGCCACCAGAGTTTCATGGAATATGTAATGTAGACATCCCCATTATGAAAGGAAGAACTGGAGAAAAGAAAGGATAACAGACACCCCAGAAAGTCAAACCAAAAAAACAACTGACATTCACTCTCAATTCTTTAAAATAATTCACTCTTGTCTGACCATTTGGTCAATG